AACATATTATCTTTTCATATAATCCAGGTTTCCATCAGACAAACAAAATAACCATCTAAAACATGAAAAATAAGAAAAACTTGTACATGTAGTCAACTGAAACATCCAAAAAGTGATGTAAACTCAGTTCATTCATGCCAAGAATGCACCTAACATCAAGGGAAGAAGCAGAACTTATTGATCAATGCGCATAGAAGAGAAAAAACTTCAACAGCGGCCAACTACTAGTATTCACCATCATGCCAGATAGTTACACAACTGAATATAAGTGGCTACCTAAATTGACTTCACAGTAATGAAGCAAAACAACAAACAACAAAGGGAATAAAAGGCTCAATTGTTTTGAAAACATACCCACATGGTCCATGCTTGGATTGTACCAATATAAAAGATATCATTCTTTCTTGAAGACCTTCGGATCACGTTTCAAGAAAGCTCACCCGATTCTTCCTGCTCACATCCAGGCAAGGAATATCCAAGTAGGTAATATCCTTCTTGTGTTTCTTCCTGAAATAATCAACAATTCCAATACGCTCTTGTGCATTATTTCCATCAGGAAATGAAACGTTGCGAGTATCTTCAGGTGTCAACCCAACTATAACATACATCTGTTTGGTATGTCGATGGGTTACATTAACCTTCAACTTTTTCAACGCTTCTTTAACAGCTTCCCTGGATGCTTGAAAATTGTTGACATTAAAATCAGCAATGTTCTCAGCTAGAAAGTCTAGAACCCGCATTTTCTTGTGAAATGCTAAAACCGAATAATCCAGGCAAAGTGCCATACCCTGGAATGTGAGCTTGAGGCTATAAAAGATTCCTGTAGATGCTGTGATGCCTTGTCCAAGATAATCTGCTGGAGAAGCTTCAGTAGGAAGGAAGCTTCGGCCAGTACGAATCATATGCATAACTGGATTCTCGTTCATAACAACATCCATCCCCTGTAATATGTCACGAGGTACCAAGGAGACGTTGTTAGTCAAGTAATCCATCAACTTGCCGAGTTCGAGCTCTTTCACAAGCTTTATAGAAAATGCGTATTTGCCGGACTTTATATCTTCCCCTTCGAACAATTCCACCTGGAATTCTTCTTCAGGTAATTGAGTAGCACTAAATATATTCTTTTCGCCATCATATGCAGTCTTCAATAATGGCAATTTAGAGTCATGAGTGAATAATTTTTTCCGGATATTCGACAATATTAGCTTAGATAGTTTGGCAGGGCCTTCATTCGTGGGAGATTCCACTGGTTTGATGTCAACATCATAGAGACTTATGATTCTCTCACAATCGAAGTCCACAAGAAAATGATTGACAACAAACTTAACAGTTGAATCAGATGCCTTTCCACCTTTATCAGGTTGCATAATTGGGTTATGCTTACTCTGACTCCCTGATGCTAATGATGTAGAAGCCAACTGTTCTGTAACATTCTTCACAACGGAATCTGTAACGGAAGAACAATGGAAGAACTTATCAAAAGTGACGCACAAATCCAAGCATTAACTAAAACTAAAAGATCATAAAAAATTAACTTCATCAACATGGTATAAAAGTTTGGATTCGTTGACCGAAAAGTCAAATGAACAAGAAAAAATTATACCAGGTGCAGGATGAGGAGTGGAAGGCAATGCCACTCTGCTAACTCCAGGATCCGGGGATGGAGCAGCAATCGGCCTCCCACTTGGCGCGCCACCAGTTCCACCGCCTCTTCCGCCGGGTGATTGCACCACTTGTCTATAACTAGGTCTCTCCGGTTTAGTCGGAAGCCCCCCGCCTCTGCCGCCGGATGATTGCACCACTTGACTATAAATCGGTCTCTCTGACTGAGACGGAGGGCCCCCACCTCCCCTCCAACCATTGCCACCGCCACCACCAGCGTAACCACCGCTTGCAGTGCATTCATGCTGCCCCGTGCCTTAATAAGGACCACCGCTTGATGTGACGGCGGATGCTGCTTCTGGTCATCCCCGCCGACATCTATACCTCGTCCTTCACTGCTTCGTACACTCTCACGACTATGACGACCACCTCTTCGTCCAGAATCACCACCACTGGCCATTGGATTCGGGAGCACAACTAGAGCAGTAAACAAAACTCTTTCGTCACAAACTCAATCAGCACCAACAGGAAAACCGCCAAATGAAAATGAAGTTTGCAAAAACAGTTATAGAGAAAAGTCGTAGGTTTGTAACAGAAAAGGATTGGAGAATGAAATTACAAAAATGACCTTACGTTGGTTTAGTGGTTTCGTAAATGATAATTTGAAATTTTAAATATTTATCATTAAGTCGGTTCTAAGCTTAAACACAAAGATATAATGGGACTAATTAATTAAAGAAGGTTGACTAATGATAAGGACAAACTACACTAATAATCACTAAATCTTTAAGACATTTTCACTTCGATCATCAAAATTATCAATAATAATTTAAATGATTTTTTTATTCAGATGATCAAAATTAAAACGCCTTAAATGTTTAGTGATCATTAGCAGAGTTTATCTTAATAAAGATTAAGAAAGTAATTGAGCGATGTTAAGGAGGAATTCCAGAAAGTTCGATGGGTCCGAGAAGGTGATGGAAGGACGGAAGATTTAATGGCTTTATTACCTTGAGGATGCAATATAGAATAAGTACAAAATACCTAAATTTCATATTCTTCTTATACACAGCTTGTATTCTCATTGGTTAGAGTCCCCACGTCACACTACGTGCGTTGACAAGTTATTCAACACAAACATACCATTTTCATTAATGTCATTTTTAATATTAAATTAAAGACTCATTTTCAATTAATATATTATTTTTTTTAATAGTCCAAGATAACTATATAATAATGTATGTTAAGATCGTTTCATCACGATTTGCTTCGAATTTAAGTAGAGACTTTATTAATCCCCTTACATACATGCAATGTCTCAATGTAATTGTTTAGATCTCTTTCCATCAAAAGAAAACGTATGTTAAGAATTTTTTTTCAATCGTATATAAATATGTAGATATAATTATTTAACTTAAAATTTTTAAAACTCATCAATTACTAAGATCACTTTATGGATTCAAAGTAATAGTTTTTCACTTCAAAATAATAATAGTAATAATTAAAAAGAGAAGTTGTTGATTCTATTAATTTATTGATGACCTTTAGTGATAAAATAAAATATTATTATTTAAGGGTTTTGAATTTAAACAATCATGTGTGTAAGATATATATATATATATATATATATATATATATATATATATATTCAATAATTAAAAGAATTTAAATAATACTATCTTAAAAATCATTCTACAAAAATAACTTATTATATTCAAAACATCTAAACAAATAATACTTATTCGCTCAACAACTTCTCTTTGTAATTATTACTATTATTACTTTGAAGTGAAAAACTATTACTTTGAATCTATCAAATGATATTAGTGATTGTTCCGTTTTGAAAGTTTTGGATTAAAATTATTACATCGAGCGAATAAATATTATTATTTTTAGATGTGTTGAATATAAGAAGTTATTTTTATATAATGATTATAAGATAATATCTATTTAAATTTTTATTACTATTGAAAACATATATATATATATAGCAGACAAGACTACTTAAATTTAAATTTTTAAAAAAATAATATTCTCTTTTATAGGTAGAGGTGCTCAATAAATTAATAGAATCACCTACTCACATTTGAATATAGGTTATTTTAAACACTGAATTTGTAAAACCGCATACTCACACTGTTTATCCTCAGCCTCATTAATGAAAAAAATATTACTAACAGTTGAACTATTTTATCAAGATTTTAAGAATCATACCATTATATATTTTTATCAATTCTAGTTATTTTGAAGAAAAAAAATTATCCGAGTATTTTTATTAAGATGCAAACATTAAATTTTTGCAAATATAATTGTATCATGGTCTAAAAATGATTATAATTTATTATAATAGACACAGAATTAATCTAAAATAATCATGTACTTTTCCCTTTTAAAAAATTAATTATGTACTTTCTTTTGAAACTAAAAATAGTTATGGAGTAGATTTATGATAATTATTTAACGTGCACGAACCAAAAAAATTTCATGGCTAAATGATTAATGTTATTTTTGGATGCATTGAGTTTGAGCATCACGTATATAAGAGTGTGAGCGTTTATTGTCAAATTAATTTAAATTTTTTGAACATATACTATTTTATATTCATCCTAAACTTCTAAAGTTTTTTTTACAATTATCGATTAAAATTTCAAAACTAATGAATTAACCACTAATGTTATCGACTTTAAACTGATCACTTGATATTAACAACTATTAATGTGGAACTTACATGACTGATTAACAAATATATACTCAAACATTAATGATTATTTGCGTAATTTACTAAAAAGTTGTCCGAAAAACATACTGCATCAATAAAAGCTCCTGCACTACAAACCTTCATGAAAAGAATATTATTTTTTAAAATAAAATTTTAAAACAATATAAATTACTTAAATAATAAAATGATATTATTCCCGTACATTAACTCCTAAAAAAACGCAACTTTTTTAATGAAACCTGATAACGGTTTTCAGAAACCACCTCACGTCATTGCTCTTTCTTTTCACCTTCAACCCTCACCATCCTTACAGCTCTCATCGTTGTTTTAACATCTTGCTTCGTATTTCAAAACAGAAACCATTGGGGCATCAGCAGCATCAACAGTCCCAAACCCAGATCCTCAATAGTAAGCAACGGCAACATATTATGGTAGTAAATAATTTTGATGACCTCTGCACTTATTACTTTGATTCTACCATTTTACATAACTTCTTTTTATTGCTTGTGTAGATGTGTCGCCAGGCAAAGTCATGCCCGGGAAGGCCGAGAAAAATGAAGAAACTCCCTATAAGGCTTTTAAAGGAAACCCAATGTAATCTCGAATTGCAATCTCGTCTAGCCCAGCCCATTGTGAATCGATAAGGCGAGAGGAAGAGAAAAGCAACTAAAATAAACTGTCAGCTGTAGCTGGGGGTTGGTAGGTAGGATTGCTGAATTTCAACAAATTCTATATCTTCCTCTCTTTTTTTGACGAAAATGGATTCCTTTGAAACGCTTGATCCTTCAAGCAAGCTGGTACTTTTTTCATTTCGCTTGATTTTTTTCTGAAGTCAACTCTTAATATTTATCTGAGAACTTACTCGCTATCTGTTTGATACAATGACGCAAAGAAGAAAGAGCTCAATTCTTTTTTCATACTTCCTTCAGTTGGGTTTTGTTTTTATCAGGCTTCTTCATATCTGTTCTGAGTATATAAATCATGTTCCTTTATTATTGTCATCAAGGTATATGGCTGATTTGTTTTCTGATACTAATTTAGTCGATCTTGAACATGGTTTTTATTTTTATTTTTTAACATAGTTTTATGCTAGAATCTGAGGATTTCATGGTGATTGTAAAAATTTACTAGTTATATGCTTGAGACTAAGTCTTATGATTGGCATAACACCTGCAAAATCTATAGAAAGTGTATGAAGTTTGGTGGCATTAACTCTGCCTTAAGACAAATTCCATAAGAAAATACTGTGATTTATGCAGTATACTGTATTATTGCACTGCCTATAACAGTTGTGTGTACTGGAAGCAGAAAAATGTATCAGATTACATAAATAATATGATGGATGAGCTCTATCAAGAAGCAGGAACTACATTGTTGAATGCACCAGATTCCAGTATGGCGTTCATGGATATGTACAGAGACGATGAAAATCACATCAGAAAGATAAAGGAATTTCAGGATTACTTTGAAATGGTATATACGTTTTTCCACTTATCTCCAGTTTTTTATCCTTTGAAAAGTTTGGTTTGTGAAAATCTGTTTGTTCTCGGTTTGTGTCTTGTTGGTAATTGGGTGTGTCAAACAAAAATGAATTCCACCTTTCATGTATAGTGCCAGTGAGATAAAAAATGAAATATGCCTTGACCCAACTTGCTAATGGTTTTCTGCCTTCTTTAGTTTAAGTAAGGATATTTTCAGCTTGGAAGTGTGCTTACTCGCTAATGGTTCCGGAGCCTGACCGATTCATGCCCTTTAAACTCGGTAGCTACATTTCTGTCTATTGAGAAGGCTTAGTTATCCCGATTACTGTTTTCTAAATTTTACAGGATGATCGTATTTATATGTTTTTTTAATATTAGATATTATCTAGTTTCGAACCCTGTGAGAATGCATAATCAAATTGTGTAAATTACAAACCTACTTTTAAATAAATCTAACCCCAAAGTTAACCTGGAGCTTGGCATGTCGCAGGTGAAGAGAATGGTTAAACCGGGTTGTTCAGAAGAAGTCTTAAAGGTGGCGTTGGCTTCCATGTCCTCGCTAGTAAGCATACTTACCTACATGTCCTCTCCAAATCACCGTTCCTCATTGTGAACAAGAATTAACCCGAATGCCACTATCTCGAGGAACAATCTGCTGGTTTTTCCTCTAGATGAAAATGCATGCTGCAGATTTTCCATGCCTGTATCTATGTATATTAAACTTTATGTTCCACCATTTTTTGTTGTCTAGTTGTCTAGAGCAGCTTTTATATTAGAATATGTCCAAGAAGAAAATATATGTTCATAGATGGTTAGCTTCATCCAAGAACATGGGAATGCTCTTGCCTGTAAGTTGTCAGTTGCACGACATTGTGTACCATAAGCTGTCAATATTGTTTGTTTATCGTTCAATTATCACGACTACTGAAAGCAAACATATTAACTTGTTTTCCTTGAAGCAATGTATTCTTTCTATTTTGGAAATCCGTGTATCTATGGCAACACCTCAGGGTATGATGATCAAGCCTGCTTACTTAGAAGAAGCATAAAGCGTCAACGCTCAAAGGTGGAGAAGGTTCACAGTCTGTTGTCTACCCAGCAAAGGCCTTTCCGTCATGCCCTACAAGAAAGCAGATACTGAGCCAGTTGATCCGAAGCTGTCAATGCTTCTGCCAACTTATAATGCTTGCCTCGCCTATCTCTGATGTATATCAGTGGCGGGGTGGTGCGGACAATCGACAGAGAGATGCGGACAATCGACAGAGAGATGCAGAAAGGGTGCATCATGGTGGCTCAAGACCAGGTGGAGGTCCGGGTTCGGACTAGGGAGTTACATTTCAAGTTTGCCATTCTTTATTTAATGGATGACTTCACCTGAAAAGATTCTCGAGAGTGGATTGATGAATGACTATTTACTCGAAAAGGATGAACAAAACGTGAAGGCCGAACCACTGAAAAATTCACAAGGGTATCCCAATGCTTTTATGATCAACTTTATGTTTCGGTAGACGATGACTTCAGAGTTGTTACCACATTAACTATTTAATACATTAAGAATAAAACTTTTAACATAGAGTTTCAAGATAATAAAGAAACAATAAATTGCTAAACCATAGTCAATATTTATTTTAATAAAAGAACTAAAAATTATTATTATTATTTTTGTAGTTTTCTGTGCTTTGTTTAACTCATTTTGGAAACTTCAATGCATATTATATTATGAACCAACCATACTAACATTTCTTTTATTCTAGCCAATAGTTAAGAGTCGACTAACAATTACTAACTGTGAAGATATGTTGCTCAAATATGAATGCAATTTTCTGAATCCATCAAGTAATTTCAATTTCAATGGTCAAGGGAGTGATGTTATCTCTAGAGGTATTGAGTTCGAATAGTTACATCTGTTCAAGGGCGGATTGAAATTTTCAGGGGCTACTGCCCTACCCACCCCTTCGGTCTATCCTGGATAAGATAATTTTGGAAATCACACGTCCTGATGTACTCAATGCAGACATTTTTATATGCATGAAAAGGTTGTATAAAAATATTTTACAAGATCAGGCTTCAACTATATTTCCTGACTCAAGTCAGCAAGATTTCTCTTCTTATTCTGGAAGTCCTTTGTTCTTTAACTCTCCATCTGTAGGTGAAGGTAGATTTTAGTGAGAGAAAAGTAAGAATTCATTGTTCTTGTGGTTGACGAGTGGGTTAATAAAAGAGAAAAGAAAAGGAGAGATAAAACTGTTCCCTAGAGAAAGCAAAGTTGTAGACTGTGAAAATGGCTCCACATCATGGGAGCTTTGGTGGCGTCGGCGTTGCTGCTACAGTTGTTTCCGTTCTGTCTGATACACGGACCAAAACACCATTTTATTCTGTAATCCAAAATTTATGATTTAACATTAAAAGGATGCAGTCCTTGCTATCTCAACTGCGGGGATAGCTCAGTTGGGAGAGCGTCAGACTGAAGATCTGAAGGTCGCGTGTTCGATCCACGCTCACCGCATTGTTTTCAGTTTTGCTTTTGTGTTAACTTGATATTGATTCCTGTGGGCCTGACTTAAAAGCTTACCCAAATATCAATGGTCCATATTCTTTATTATGAATCTGCCAAATATTCGAAATATATATTAACAAGAAATATAAGTTTCTATATAATTATTCCTTAAAAAATAATAACCTCGTAACAAAAAACCTGTTCACTCTTTTTCATTTTTTTTTTCCAAATTTAAAACTCCATGTTTAGTTTTTTTTAAAATCACATTTCTCTATTGAAAAGCATGAGATACGAAACAATTACATCATCTTTAGCCTATATAACACGTAAAAGTATTAATCCGAAAATTAATCTTAAACCAAATAATTTTTTTATGATATTTGAGTTAAAAAAAGGTCATATCATTACCCCAAAACAATGCAACAAAAACTAGTCTATCACAATGGGGACTGATGGTTTGATTTAGGAGCCATTTATATATTTTATAATGAAACCTTGTGGTCTTTGACAATACGAAAAAGTTTGAACTTTTTTCATAGTTGAATTATAGTTTTTTTTAATTAATCAAAACACAATTCTGCTGTCTGTTTCCCAAGAGGGAAAAAATTGGAAAACTAATTACTCCAAAATTTAACAGGCAAATAGGAATAGATTAGGAGAACGGACGAGGACAGTAATTTCTTCTACAATTATTAATTTTTATATTTTTTTATTAATAATCTGTTTTTATTTTCTTAAAATTTTATATTTTTTTCTCTTTAAAATTTGAAAATGAGATAAATTTATTTTACTAATTTAGATTTATATATCCGTTTAGGTAGACAAGGAAAATTACCCAAAGCTAAAGGGTCCCTCAGCCCTCAACATCTGATTTTGGAGGCATATAATTATAGGTCACCACCTAGAAAATTGAGCCAAACATTTTATCGGCCTTTTATGAAAATAACATAGATTCTAAATTTATTTATTGTTCTCACGCTCTTCCTAGATGATTTATGAAATTCACATCGTTTTACTGATTCAACCTGACGTATAATATTTTAATATTATAATTAATACATATAGTGTCAATTCTATTGCTAAAAATTAAAAAAATATTATATCAATAATTTTGTTAATTTTTTTACTGTAAGTTATTAAAATAAAATTAAAGCGTAACATTAGTTATAATTTTAAAAAAATAATCAGATGACCAAAATAGAAAAATAATAATAGTTAAGATATTAAATATAGAATTTACCCTAAAGAAATCGATTTTATGAAGTAGGATTCGGATAGCATTTTCGTAGGAAGCCCCTTAACACAAACACAGCAAAAGACAATGAAGCAAAGCCGAAACACATAAGGCAGAGTGAGATCCGGATATGTCAGTTCCTATCCGGAAAATACCCTACAGGTGTATGTTGGCAACATCCCAAATTTGAACAGTTCACATGGGATCGGGGAACCCATCCTAGTCAATTTCAACACCTCCATTTCTCCTTAAAGTGATCGAGGAGTAGATGAAATGTCCTTTTATGTGTCCCTTTAAAAGGCTGTCGTTTCCCATCAATCCGTCACTTGTCCTCGCTGCAAATAATAGTATTTTCTCTTTAAGCATCTTCTCCTTTTACCACAAACCTATAAAAAGAAAGGACGTAACAACATGTTCTATTAAATTGAATTAAAAAAATAAATTATTTGAGTTGATTAATACTATTTTATAGTTCAAATCCTATTTAATTTTTTTTAAATTGTCAAAATGATTATTGGTCAAAAGGTTGATGTATTTTTTTGACATAAAAAAAAAATGCCTCAGTTTTAAGTGATAAGTATGTATTTTTTATAAAAATAAACAACTAATTTTATTAAAAAGAAAACAATATTAAAAATTAAAATAAGAATTTATAATTAGAATCGTAAACTAAATATATTAGGATATTCTCCTTTAATCATTGACACATAAAATTAACACAAGAAATTACAATGAAGGTTCAATTTCAAATAGTTGAGAGTTATTTTTCAAAAAATATTATCTTGTACTTATTCTAGATTAATCAAAAATAAAAAAGAGCATACAAGGAAAAACTTAAAAACTCATAAAAAAACTCGAACAATAAGTAAATACGAATAGATCTAACTACCATGGTAAACGAACCATGACATGAGATTAAACTATCTACGAACGCATGTTGCGTATCCAAATCTAATTCAAAGGTCTAAAATAGGATAAATCAACGAGATAACAAATGAACACTATCTTGATTAGTCGTAACGATATCAAATCTAATATTAATAAAAAAAATGACAAAAACGACCAAATGAGAAAAAAATAAAAAATATGTCATAAAGATAAAATTTTTGAGAAACAAAAAAAATAAAATTACGATATAAGAAAATAAAGAAATACCAACAACGATAATTAGTACTAAGATTAATGCCTTCATCTTTTAATCAAAAAGAAAAAGAGAAAGGACAAGACTTGAAGTAGTGGTGGATGTAGACTTTGTCCAGGTGGACACATGACATAAAATTCAAAAAAATTTATATTAATAGTTCTTTTTATATTTATTTATCCCATACGAACAATTTATGTTATCGATATATATGTTTCTATTCTAAAAAATATTCATCATCCTCGGAGAAAAGGAGCTCCTCAGTCAAGGAAAGTTATTTAAGTTCTTTTAATAATTTATCTAATTGAATTTGTTTAACCAAACCCCTAAGCGATAGGCTTAAAAGGAAAATTGAGGGGCTATTAGCCGATAAGACAGTTAAAGTGCACTGTTTTCTCAGCCTGCAAAAACTGCTCTCTTCTGACACCTTTGCACTTTCATTCGTTTTCACTGTTTCTGTTTGCTATTTTCCCACAATATCATCATCCCATTAGATTCCCACGTTTATTATTATTGTTTATCCTCCTCAATTCATCCTTTCATTCTATTTTTTTTATTACTGAATATAATACAAAGAAAATGAGCTTGTTTTTTTCTAATCATATCCTAATACATTGAAATTATCTTGGTTGTCATATGATGGCGATGGCCATGGCCATGGATTGTTTCATGTGAATTCAACTCCTTTCTGAAATTTCTTTCTCATGCATGATCATCACTTTCTCTATCTTTTAAATTTTATTGTCCTCTTTCAATCCCGGGTCCTGCTGGGAATTCAAGTTTCTTTGGTAGCTAACAGGAAAATTGCAGATTTCAAACCAAGGTAAAAACTTTTAGCCAATTTCATCTTTTTGTGGATTATCCGTTGTTTGTTGACTTGGGTTTTCCTCCGTCTTTCATCAGCATCCAATTCCAAGTTTTTTCATGCGAAGATGGATTATGATGATAATTTCTTCTGTGAATTATGCAGATTGTGATATCAAAATGGACCCTTTTTTTACGTCTTCTCAACATTAATTACCCCTAATTTCCCATATTTTCTGTAAAAGTTTGTGAATTTTAGATGGACTTGTCCTCTAACTGTAAGCTTTCGAGGTTATTCAGTTGCCATTTCACTTCTTTAACATGCAAATGTTGTCTTGCTTTGGTCACTATGGCTCTGTTTATCAGAGCTGTTTTTCTCCATTCATTTCCTGGCTATGGTGTGATTGAATGGAACAACCTAGACTTGATTCTAAGCCCTTCTTTATTGCTGGAATATGATGATGGGATTCGTAGAGATAAGTTCTTGGAAGTTCCTCAAATTGTGTGGGGACTAAATAATCAGAAGATAGCACTTGCAAGAGCTTGTCTAACTGCTAGAATGCTGAACCGAACACTTTTGATGCCTAGATTAAGTGCTTCACTTTTCTACAAGGAAATCGATCGCCTGCAGCCTATTTCGTTCGATAAAGTCTTCCGATTCGAAAGGTTTAATTCACTTTGTAATAGGTTTGTGCGGTTAGGTCGGTATTCGGAACTTAGGAATCAAACGGGCATACATGATCTTCGGAAGGGAAGTGGAAGAAGGTGGACAGCTGAGAGAGACTTGGAGCAGCTGAAGGAAAGCAGCCGAGGTTTTGTCGATGAGTACGAAGTGATTAGAATAGTTGGAAAGAATCCGTTTCTTTGGCATGATCATTGGCCCGTTAAGGACTATGTGAGGGTCTTTGAGTGCCTTGTTTTGGTTGATGAGATTGTCAAAGAAGCGGATAAAATCGTGTCCAAGATTAGGCAGATCGGGAGAAAGCTTAGGAGTGAAGCCGAGACGGTAGAGAACAATTTCGACACACAGGGTTCTTCACTGCGACACGTTCCTTATGTGGCAATCCATATGAGGGTAGAAATAGATTGGATGATTCATTGTAAGAACTTAGAGGAAAGATCAGGGATAAACCAAATTTGTAGTAGCAAGCAAGAGATTATGCAAAGAGTGGGGAACATTGTGGGATTAGAATCTCCCACTGTTGCTTATCTTGCTGTTGCTGATAGCCTCCTTAATGATTCTTCAATACTGGATGGTTGGAAGAAAGGATTGCTTCCTTTCGAGAAGAAGAAACTAAGGGTCGACGGAATCTACAAGAAGCATCCATATCTGATTCAGTCAGCAATCGACTATGAGGTGTGCTCAAGAGCTGATATATTTGTAGGCAACAGTTTCTCCACTTTTTCTAGCCTCATTGTTCTTGAGAGAACACAAAGGATGATCAGAATGGGCATCACAAGCTTGTGCGGCGTCGATGTTCGATGGCCATCTTATGCATATAATATACCAGGGGAATCGGATGGTCCTCGGAAATGGATGACTAATATGTCTGATTCGAGTCTCAAAGCAATTAGTTATGGTTCTAATGCTATCTCATGTTGAAGTTTCTGAATAAAATTCAACCGGCAGGGTGCGTATACAGTTCATACTGAAATATATACAGCTTCATTTTGGTAGATTTGGTTTTTTCCTCACTTTTCATTTATATATATATTATATTATTTGTTCATAGACTATATACAGTTGGACACTGAGATATGTGATTGCATTTTTGTTATTTCTATTGAAAAATGAAATGGAGTGGTTTATTGCCTTCACTTAAAATCAAAGAATTAGGTGTTCTTTATGTTTATGTAGGTCCAGCAATGGCGGTGCTATTCCATCATGAATTATGATGGGATGAGTTGTAATAAAATGACTAAACCAGTAGGATTCTCATGTTTTCTTTTTCTGTTTGTTTTCTAATGTCTTGTTCAAATCATTGCTTATAAATTTTGTTGGATGAATACTAGGCTCTTCACAATGCTTTCCTGCTCCTTTCTATATCAATGGAGTAAACAGGAAAATTCATTTGTCAATTCCTCAAACACTTTACAACCAGAAAACCAATATCAGATAACTTGTACTAAAATCAATGCAATGATTTGTTTCATCAACTTCACTTTCAATTTGATGACATTGCCAAGATATTTACCCTATAACATGAAAGATATATATATATAATCTGAGGTGATTATAAAGTGGTATCTATTTAGAATTTTTCTTAGTCTGTTAACAACGCACCGACATACGCAGCTGGAACATGAATCTTCTAAAGAAAAAAACATTAGTAATCCTATTACCACAGTCGGGGGGGGGGGGGAAACACAAATAGAGTTAAATCTAGTGTAAAAACCATCCCTCCATTATGTACTGCAAAACAACAAGGTGGAAAATAAATAAACAATAAACAAGAGCGTATCAAACTATAAAATCAAATGAAATGGGCACCACATATATAAGAGAGAAAAGGTGGGCACCATTGATGTAATGAACAAAAGAGCTTGATTAGATATATTAGTTGATAATTAAAGATTGTATTACTTAATAATGGATGCTCATGTACACTACGAAATATTTACTCCTTTCATCTCTCGATCTCACTCAACCAATGCCAGTGCAAATCTTTCACGAGTATGCTTGTTGTATTTCAATCCCACAATCAAATAAGATAATCAAGTATATCCATACAATTCAAAACAGAAGCTTACTATACCATACACAAAACAAAATCTAGAACTCATATATATATATATATATATATATAAATCAACTCATTAAACATGATCAAGAACTGAACTTTAACAACAGAGTAAAGTTGTAGCTGCAGTGAGATAGTAAAACAGCAAAAAGGCAAATCTGCAACTAGAGAAATCAGCAAAAGATAAGAGACAAACGGCAGTCGAGTATTCCCCTCCCAAAGTCAAAGAGATCATCGAAACGTTCTTTTCCTCCACCGAAGATTTCAATGGCGTTTCTAAATATCTGGACTTTTCATTGATATATTGATATTCTATTTAAAATTCAAGTGTCAAATTAAAAATTGGTCATTTTTATTAACGTAACAGGTTATTTATATAACATAAGTTGATGATTCAATGATTAAATTCTAACAAATTGATAAAATAATTTATTAGAATGTAAATTTTTGAATTTCGGTGATTGAAATTGAACAAAATTAGAAGAAAAATAATCAAACTCGTACTTTACCCATTTAAAAATATCATGGGAGAATGATTTTTTTTTTGAATTATTTGTTTTAAGATTTATATATTTAGTATTTGTGGTGAATTGTGTTTTTGTAATTTAGAATTTTTACATGTTAACAATCTTGTACTTTGATTTTACTAATATAATTAGAAATGTTGGTTTTATTTTATATTAATTTTCATTGATATTGATGTTCTAAGATTATCCAGACAATAATGTCTGGATCATTAATATTACATACATTACATGTTGCGGAAGACGGCTATCGGATAGAGCAAAATCGCAACTGATAATTTGAGAAAATTAAAATGAAAATAAAGAAGACACAAATTTTACGTGGAAACCCCCTAAATAATATATAGTAAAAACCACGAGCAACGGTAAAAGAATTTCACTATGAGAAAATAGGAATTACAACTTCTCTCGATATATCAAGGAGAAAACAACAACAATTCTCTCTTGATAAAAAGGAGAAAACAACTCTCAAGAAACTCTCTAAATTCTCCAGTATTGGGAGAAAACTCGAATGATATGGGATGGTTTTGAAGCTAAATGAGATAGGGTATTTATAGTTGAAGCTTAAGGACTAATCTTGTAAATACTATAAAGTTTAGGGACTACATTTTGGTAATTATCCCTTAAAAAATCAACAAAATCATGCTTAATAATTCATTCAACAATTTATGCAGCCGACTTTGAATTTATTTAGCAACCAACTTTAAATTAACCGGCTGCTTTGACGATTTTCAACAATCTCCCACTTGAAGATATTCCAATCATATTTTCACACCATTCTTTCTACCTTGTACCTTCATGTTGCTTACGTTTCTGACAGGCCACAAGAGGACTGACATCAGGTAAATTTATCAGCATTGATTGCCTTTGGCATGGATCTTCTGCATATCTACCATCTATTCTTCCATCTTTTCACGAATGAAATGGTACTGAACTTGTATGTGTTTTGTCTTTGAATGAAATACTGGATTCCTTGCTAGATGCAAGGCACTTTGACTGTCACAAAACAGAGAGACATACTCTTGATTGTGCCCAAGCTCCTCCAATAGCATCTTCAACCAAATTGCTTCTTTATTGGCTTGTGTAGCTGCTACATATTCTGTCTCTGTTGTGGATGTAGCCACAACTGACTGCAATTTTGAAACACAACTTACAGCTCCACCAGCAATTTTGAACACATATCCTGTAGTAGATTTGTTTTTATCCAAATCCCCTACATAGTCAGAATCTACATACCCATTGATTAGTAAATTTGATCATCCGTAACATAATGCAACATTTGAGATCCCTTTGATATATCTCATGATCCTCTTTACTGTATTCCAATGATTGTGCAATGTCTGGTCTTGTGCATATCATAACGAACATTAAACTTCCCACTGCCGATGCATACGACATTCTAGACATCTTCATCCTCTCTTCTTCACTGCTAGGACTCATACTGTAGGATAATTTGAAGTTATTATGAAGAGGGTTAGAAATTGACTTACAATATTGCATGCTGAATCGTGACATGATCTTCTTCAAGTTATTCTTTTGTGAAAGCCAAACCTTCATATTATTTCTGTCTCGGTGAATTTGCATCCCTAGAATCTTATCTGCTGATCCCAAACCATTCATTTCAAATTCACTAGCCAGTTGTGCTTTCAATTCTTCAATATGATCTTTGTTGGGTCCTGCAACCAACATGTCTTCCACATACAACATCAATATAACAAAATCATTATCACCAAACCTCTTGAAATAAGCACAAGGGTCTATATTAAGTCCCTTGTATCCAAGGAACATAATGAAGGAATCAAATCTCTTATACCAACACCTCGGCGCCTGATTTAGACCGTACAGAGATTTGTTCAACCTGCAAACCAAGTTCTTCTTTTCTTTTTCTTCAAAACCTTCAGGCTGGAGCATGTAAATCTCTTCTTCAAGATTTCCATGAAGAAAAGCTGTTTTAACATCTAGCTGCTCTAGATGTACGTTTAATGTAGCACACATTGCCAAGACTACTCGAACTGTTGTTGGTCGAACCACAGGAGAAAAGATTTCATTGAAATCAATACCTTTTTTTAGCATATTCTTTGACCACCAGTCTTGCACGATACATCTCCACTTGATTGTCACCATTTTGCTTGATTTTGAAGACCCATTTATTACAAATTGGCTTCATTCCTTGTGGTAGTAAAACAAGGTCCCATGTATTATTTTTATGAAGAGCTTCAATTTCTTATTGCATCGCCATCATCCACAGTGAAGCCTCTGAGTTGTTTATTGCCTCCTAGTATGTTGATGGCTCACCGTCATCTGTTAAAAGATAGTATGCAATATTACCTTCTATAACATAATCTGAGTGTCAATTGGGACGTTTTCTAACATGATCTGATTGACGAGTTGTTGGAGCTTCAGAACTCTCTGGTTCTTGTTCATCATGTACTGGTTCTACTTCAGAAGTATCTCCTTATTCAACCTCCTTTTCCACATATATTTGTGTAGTCTCTGAATTTTCAGTGCTATCATCGTCTTCTTTTCTTTTTAGTTTATCTTCTACAAAGATAACTTCTCTGTTGATGATCACTTTACGGGCAGTGTGATCCCATAAGCGATACTCCTTTACTCCATCAGTATACCCCAAGAATTTGCATTTCCTGGATATTTGATCCAGCTTTGAAATTTATTGGGAGTTGTACATCACGTACACAATACTTACAAATACATGGAGGTTTGAATAATCAGCTGGTTTACCAGTCTACATCTCCATTTGTGTCTTTAGCTCTATTGCAGTTGATGGAGCTCGATTCACCAAATAACATGCGGTATTGACTGCTTCTGCCCAGAATGATTTTTCTAGGCTTACATTCCTCAACATTGCTCTTGTTCTTACAAACAAGGTTATGTTCATCCTCTCTGCCACTCCATTTTGTTGAGGAGTGTTCGCCATTGTGAGCTGTCTTTTAATGTCTTTTTTCCTGCAAAAGTATCAAATTCTTCACTTGTGTATTCTCCTCCATTATCTGCTCTGAAACACTTGATCTTATTCCCAGAATCAAGTTCTACCCGCGCTTTGAAACTTTTGAAAGTTGAAAACACGTCTGACTTTTTCTTAATAGGGTACACCCAACATCTCCTGGAGTAGTCATCAATAAATGAGACAAAGTATTTTGCTCCACCTAGGGATATAACTGGTGCTTTCCATACGTCAGAGTGAACCAATTCTAAAACACTTTTGCTTCTAGAATTTGATGTGTTGAATTTCAACCGGTACTGTTTACTTGTTATGTAATGCTCACACAAAGTAAGTGATACATTTGTTAAGCCTGGAAGTAGTTTTTGCTCTGCAAGGACTTTCATTCCTTGTTCTGACATGTGTCCAAGTTTTTGATGCCATAGCATTGCAGAATCTGAACTACATGAGGCAACAGAGGCTTCTACTTCTAGCAAAGTCTTTCCCTTAAGCATGTACAAGTTTTCTTCTATCTTTTCGCCTTTCAGTACCACAAGCGCTCCACGGAACACCTTAATGATTCCTTTCCGTGTTTCAATATTGCTTGCATTATTATCCAACAATCTGTAGGATAATAAATTTTTCTTCAGGCCTTTCACGTGCCGCACATCTTGAACAACTTTAATTGTTTCATCATGCATTTTCAATTTGATGGTTCTCATGCCAATGATCTCTAAGGCATGATCATTTTAACTATACACAGATCCTCCTGAGACAGGTTCATAATGATGGAACCATTCTCTTATTGAGGTCATGTGATATGTTGCTCCCGAATCAATGAGTCATATATTGTCATATCTCTTTCTACCTTCCACGGTGGTTGACGCTTCACAACATAGAGCATCTCCATCATCTGAAGTATTTGCGGTATTGCCTTGTGGATTAGAGTTTTTATTTAGACTCTATCAATCCTTCTTCAAGTGACCATTCTTTCCACAATTGTAGTACTTTAAATTCTTCTTGCTTCTCGACTTCGATCTACCATGTTTGTGACTGCTGCTTTGGCCACGTTCTGTTGATCTCTCTCTCATCGTTGTTAATGCTTCTACTTGTTGAAGATTTACTTGTCTGTCTTCCTTGTTATTGCGCTGATTTTCTTCTTGTAGAACAACAACTGCAACGTCATCGAAGACTAGACTGGTGACATTACTGTTTGTCAAGTTGATGATAAGTTGATCATACAAATCAGGTAGACTTTGAAATAGAAGTTCAACACGTTCTTATTCTCCTATTGCACATCTTAAGCATGTAAGCTGCGAAAATAAAGTGTTCATCATGTTTAAGTGTTCTGTCATTGAGGTAGATTCTGACATCCGGAGAGTGTACAATTTCCTCTTAAGGAAAATTTTATTGTGCAGCGATGTGGCATCGTACAATTTGGTGAGATGATCACATATCTCCTTAGCTGTCTTCTTCTCCTCGATGCTTGACAATACTTCATCTGCTAATGCTAGATAAAGTTTTCCATAGCATTTCCGTCCATTTCGATCCATTTGTTGTCATCTATAAAATCTACCGGTCTTTCACTGATAGCTGCTAGACAACCGTCTTTCCCCAGGATGGTCTTCATCTTCAATTTTCACAATGAGAAATTTCTCCTATTGAACTTTTCAATATCAAATTTCGTTGCCATAACTTCTATTACGGATAGCTCCCACTATTCACTATCGTGAATAGTTCTCTGAAACATTCAAAGAATGGGTAATACCTTTTTACTTTCTTATGTTGGAGGATCAACCTTTTGGTGGCAACCACAAAAACAATAAGTAGATATTACACACTCTAACCTGACTCTAATACCAATTGTTGCGGAAGACGGCTATCGGATAGAGCAAAATCGCAACTGATAATTTGAGAAAATAAAAATGAAAATAAAGAAGACACAAATTTTACCTGAAAAACCCTTAAATAATATAGGGTAAAAACCACGGGTAACGATAGAAGAATTTCACTGTGAGAAAATATGAATTACAATTTCTCTCGATCTACCAAGGAAAAAACAATGACAATTCTCTCTTAATATAAAGTAGAAAACAACTCTCAAGAAACTCTCTAAATTCTCTAGTATTGAGAGAAAGCTAGAATGATTTGGGATGTTTTTGAAGCTAAATGGGATAGAACATTTATAGTTGAAGTTTAAGGACTAATCTTATAAATATCCTAAATTTTAGGAACTACATTTTGGTAATTATCCCTTAAAAAAATCAACAAAAATCATGCTTAATAATTCATTCAACAATTTCTGCAGCCGGCTTTGAATTAATTTAGCAGCCAACTTTGAATTAACCGGCTGCTTTGATGATTTTTCAACATTACATGCCTATTGTCTTATGTTATTACATTAAAAATTTCAGGAGGTTAATGCATTAACCTATTTGAGTCAAGATCAAAAATTTAAATTTAAATTTAAATAATACAAAAAAATTCAAAAGGCATTTGCCTTTTCATCTCTGATCTGACCTCTCCGTCCTTGCAAGGACAAGAAGATCTATGGTGAAGAAAAGTCCAAACAGTAATAAGTCTATTCATTAGTAGTAAATTTAAAAATATTTTTAGTGTTGATATTCGTATATTAACAATACGAAAATTTCGTACGAGAATGGATGCAAATAAATTTTTAGAGTATATATAATTGATAAAATAATTAATTAATTAATTAAAATAAATTTAAATTCTAGAATGCATATTTACTTACCGTAAAACACACACACATATATATATATATAAAACAAGATTGAACTGAAAGAGCTAAATTGATTTTCTTTTATTGGTGTTTGAACGTGATGAAAGGGTCCCAAAAACTAAGTTCATAACATAACAAACATGCATGGTAAGACAGCTTACAACTTTGCACTCTCTTTTATTCCAAAAACCAGAAAGTAGTGTTGAGATAATTAAGCCCATTTGGCCATGAGAGACATGCCACCAGCACCTAGAAGAACTGCAACGTAAGACTTCAGTTGGAGCTTAATACTAGACTGCAACTTTGGACCCATGAAATCTGCAGAAAGAAGATCAACCAATGCCATGTATATCAAAAGTCCAGCCGACGACGCATTCAGCAGCCCCACCATGGTCAACGCCGTCGGACTATTCTCTTTGTACGTCCTCGACAGAGCCATTCCCAGTGCGATCCCAAATGGCGTTGTTACAGAGAAGAAGAACACCATTATAAACTTCTTCAACGCTTTGTACTCCGCCTATATATGTATGTATGTGTATATATATCAGAAGAGAGGCTTATAGGTTAGGTTTTGAGAATGTAGAATTGTTGAATGAATTACCTGAAGAATGCAACCGCCGAGGCCCATCCCTTCAAACATTTGATGGAAGCAAAGTGCCGCCACAAGACCTTTGATGCTGCATGTGTTGTTTGAGGCTCCAAGTGAAAGCCCTATCACCACCGAGTGAACTACAATTCCCAATTCCAACACCTGCAGTCAACAATCATTTCATAACTATCTTCTAATGGTTGTTTTAGTTACTGATTTTTTAAAGTTATAAAATAATCATTAAATTTATATCACATTATTATAAAATAGATTGTGTTGTAATAAGGATAAAAATTTGATATCACTAGAAGTTTAATTTGAGGTTGTATAGTGCGATTAACCCAAAATATTAATTAAGTAGTTTGGTATCTTTATACTTGTTGACACGTCTTAAATAATAATACCAAAAGACAGGGATAGATTGAGGAGAGATTAATGCGGGGTAATCATTCTATTGAAAATTTAAAATTATCCTATATTTTAGATTTTTTCTATGTATTTTCTATTAAAAATTTATTTTTACCTCCTGAAATTTTATAAATTTGTTCCCTCTAATATAAAGTCCTGCATACGTAAAATATGAAATATCTTACCATGGCAATGACACGATAACGCATCAATTGTTGATCAGCATCGTCTGCTGGCTTTAGATTATGATGATGGTGATGGCCATGTAATTGCCCAACATTCGCAACAGCCGCATCATGTTGTCCTCCCCCGGTTTCTGGGTTAACTCCGGCGGTGCATTTCCGGCTGTATATGGATGTAGCCATGGAATCTACCATTAAAGTCACTATTGCAGATAACATTGCCACGAAACCTGTAAACGGAAACTTATGCCACGGGTTCTCGTCCAAGCAATTCGACGATAACATGTCGAAAGAATCCGGCAACACGTGCATGAACCCCGTCGCCAGAATGATTCCGGCCGCGAAACACTTGACGATCACGAACAAACTCTTGTCGGGTTGAAGAGCCGGGATCGAACGTGTGAATAGAGGTGAACTTACACCTATAATACTAGTGATCAATATGGAGAAAATGGCTATGATTTTGAGGGGTAAGGCCCTCTTTTTGCTGGTGCAGCTGTTTGTTTCTGCTCGGCACTCCTCTGGTACTACTGAAAGTGCACGAGGAGTGAAGATGGAAATGATAATCAAGAAGATGGTGAAGAGCTTGACAAGTGAAGAAGAAGAAGCCATCGACCCTTTCTTAGTCACCTTACTAACAAGACTGATTGTTTGTTCGGCTACGGCGACTGCGTATGATTGGGGTCCTATATAGAGAAAAGTGACATCATAGATTATTTTTTTAAATAATATGGAGTGAGATTTAATTTACCGATAATGTATACAATACAAATGAAATTATGTAAACTCAAGTCATTTAAGTACAACAACACTTAATTTTGTAATTGATACCGTTTAATAAATTCATAGATTATAATTTTTTTTGAATTAATCATTGGTATTTGATCTATTGAACAACTAATCTAGATCGGGGAGGGCCACCCTCCCAAACCAATTTACTCCATTCCCAAACGCCAAGATTCGAACCTCTAATCTTACTTAAGGGACCTAATGCCTCATCTCATTAGACCAACTGGTTGTTGATATAATTTTTATTTTACTATAAAAAGATTACATTTATTAATTTATAAATGATGCACTATAAATTTACACAATGCCATTATATTTATTTTTGTTCTTTTTAAGAAAGAAAAAATTTGGCAAACTTATTCATTTTTTCCATTGATTTGAGTTCGATTGATGAATATAAATTTATTTGTATTATGAACCTTTGAAATCAGGAATGGATCGAAGAGGTGTATGAGGTGCGATTGCACCTATTTAAAATTTTAAATTCCATTATATTTTATATATTTTTTATTTTTTTATATTTTCTATTAATCATTTAATTTCGTACCTCTTGATATTTTATAATTCCACACTCCTTTAAATTTCGAATAAGTTCACACCTCTAACGTAAACTCATATGTCCGTCTCTGCTTGAAACGTTTGGTTATTAAAAGGAGATATTAATTCTAATTTTTATAAAATAGAAAATATTAAAAATATATTTGATTAAAATTTAAAAAAAACGATTTTCTATTAGTTCAATTATAATTTATTTTCAATTATTATCACTGTTTATTTCTCAGATAATGTTTTATCTAACATAAATAATATATAAGAAAGCATAACTAAGCTTAAGTCACATAAATTTTATAAAATATGAGAAAAATAGATATATATTTTTATAGTAGAATTTTCTAAGTTGAATATAACAATATCTGCCAATATATTATAGTTATAGACTTAATATCAAAATATTTAACAAAAATAGAGGAAAATAAAATGAAAAAATCAAATATAAAAATATTCATAATTCATAAAATAGAAAATTAAATGTAAACTAGAAATTATAGAAAAAATAGTAAATACAATGTAAAATAGAAATTATAGAAAAATATACAAAAAAAATGAGTTTATTCAAAATTAAAATAATTTTAGTTTTTCTTCCCTTCCATTTTCCCCACTTTACGTGGCTTTCTCTCATCCTTATCCAATCCAAATATAGAACTTAAAATTTTATTTGATTAAAAATAAATGTTAAATACCGGAAAAAATTGAGATTAAAAAAATTTAAATTTTTTAATCTTTGTTTAATTCAAAGCTTGAAGCATGCCGCTGGATAGAAGTTGCATCCAATCCCATGCCTTCCTAATATCTTTGGATGGCAAATTGCTTGCTATTTTTTTTACTCGTTCAACGAATATTCCAAATAAAATATAATTCCAAATTATAATAATCTCAAGTTGTTAATCACAACGTAAGCATAGTTTACTTTATAGAAGGTACTACAAATGTACTTTGTCAACCATCCAATAATGTAACGTTAATTGTTAATTAAGTTGATCTGTTTATTTTTCGTTGGTTCAATTTTAATCAAGCTTTGACAATATTTCATATTGTTATATAATATTGTGGGAGATCATAAAGAAGCACTTGGCATTTGGATGAAGGTGCGACTCTAACGACCGTACCAACGTACTTAATAATATCCATTAAGTTTGGACGTATTAAATGCTAATTTAAATTTTTTCTTTCGAAATGGTAATGTCAAGCTATACACAAGGTCAAACTATGTGGATTAAAGAAGCCATCTTCCATCAAGGCAACGACAAAGCTCCTGGCCCGGATAGATTCACATCTTATTTTTTCAAAAAATCATGGGATGTGATTGGAGACGATGTGGTGGACGCAATAAAATACTTCTTTCAACAAACATTCTTGTTACCAGCTTTCAATGCTACAACAATCGCATTGGTGCCTGAAATACCAAATCCAAGCACGGTTAAAGACTTCCGACCAATTTCCTGTTGCTCTGTTGTTTATAAGACAATTACTAAGATATTAGTAAAAAGGCTAACCAGACTACTCCCAGGAATGATTACTCTGAATCAATCTGCTTTTGTAAAAGGAAAAAGTATCGTTGACAATACTCTCCTAGCACAAGAACTGGTGAAAGGATATGGAAGGAAATCAATTTCCCCAAGATGTTCTTTGAAGATTGATCTACAAAAGGCATTTGACACTCTCCATTGGGGCTTCATTTCAACAATCCTAAATGCTTTACAACTACCAAAAACCTTCATTGGCTGGATGGAAGCTTGTTTCTCAAATGCAAGATATTTCATCTCCTTCAATGGAAGCCTGATTGGATACTTCTAGGGTACAAGAGGAATAAGACAAGGTGACTGCCTATCCCCTTTCTTATTCGTCCTCTCAATGAATGTGTTGTCCAGAATTCTTAATTTGGATGCTGCTAGAGGTATGTTTGGCTACCACCCTAAATGTAAGAAGATAGGTCTCACTCACTTAATGTTTGCGGATGATCTTCTTATCTTTTGTAAAGGAAATGTGGAATCTGTTGTAGGAGTCCCTACTGTTTTAGACAAATTCTACGAAATGTCTGGACTTAAGCTTAATGCGGCCAAATGTGAATTCTATGATGTTGGTATCTCTATTAATATTCTGGAAACCATTAGCAAAACTACGGGGTTCAAACAAAGAATCTTGCCTGCGAGATACTTAGGGGTCCCTTTGGTAGCAAGGAAACTCTCTGAAAAGGGTTGTGTTGTTCTCATTGATAATATCAAGTCCAGGCTTTATCGATGGTCAACAAAACACTTGTCTTATACAGGTAGACTCGAACTTATAAGAGGTGTCATGTTCAGTGTTACTAACTTCTGGTGCATGCAACTATTTTTACCTCAATCTATTATTAAAAGGATCGAGCAATTCTGTTCTCGATTTTTCTGGAAAGTTTCAGATAAAGCAGCTACTGGAGCTAGAGTAAACTGGGGAACGATATGTCAATCGAAATCTGAAGGAGGGCTTGGTTTAAAGGACATAAAAACATGGAATAAGGCGTGTATGATCCAACTCATTAGAATATTCTTGCGGGAGAGGGCTCATTGTGGGTTGCTTGGCTAAAAAACTACGTCTTAGGCGATAAAGACTTCTGGCACATTGAAAATGGAACAAACTTCAGCTGGAGCTTCAGAAAATTACTTAAAGTTAGGAGAGAGGCCAACGTTGTTTTCTCAACAGGAGAAACAACAGTTCGTGCAATTTGGGAAGAGCTTAGGGTAAAGAGAGACAATGTTCTTGGACAGACTTCCAACTAAAGACATATTGCAACATATGGGAATTGATACCGATGGTTTATGTGTTTTCTGTAACAAGGCCCAGGAAACGAGAGATCACCTGTTCATAGAATGCCCGCTGGCAAGTTCGCTTTGGAAGAACATCCTTCTTCTAACCGGCTTGCAGAGATCTTCATTGTCTTGGGATAATTTGTTGTCCTAGGCTTGTGGTACTTGGAAAGGTAAGTCCCTCCTAATTACTATTTTGAAGCTTGCATGGACTGCATTTATATATTCTATCTGGGAGGAAAGAAACAAAATGTTGTTCTGAGGAAGCTCAAGAAAAGTTGATGAGATTCTTAAAGTTGTCAAGGAGTTTGTTAGTATTCAACTAAGAGACAAGAAAATTAATAGACTAGATAGAGTTAATATTTCTCTTTGTATTCAATGGGGGTATTGAGTAACCTTTATTTGTAAGTTGGTTGTTCATGCTCCATGATGGTTTGTTTGTTGATTGTCCTGTAGCAGTTTACTGCTCCTTTTGGATAATAATATTCTTTTATTTATCCAAAAAAAAGTCAAACTATGATAGTTTAGCTAGGAAGAATATATCCAAGCAAGGATAGATATTCAATCAAGTGAAATCCAATTAAAAGATTTTACATTATTCAAATTGAAGATTTAACGAGATAGCGGTTATTGCCCTTGTCTTGTTCCTTGTTTTTTTTTTCTTTTTTTTTTCTTATCCTTCTTCGTTTCTTCTTCCGCTCTTGATCACCTTTTTTTCTGATTATTTTTCTCGATTATATGATTTTCATTCAAATTAAATATCTTCCTCTAATCGTGACATCTTTGTAGGTTTAGTGGATAAGTTTTTCTCCTTTTTTTTAAAGATGAATCTCGTTAAGGAGAAAAAATACCCGAAAATATATAAATCAAAGGAGGCGTACATTGTCTAATACAACATAAGATAAAAAAAAATCGAAACAAACCAATTCAAAATACAAATCGCTTGAGCAAGTACGAGGGCAACCCTATTCGCAGTACGACAAACCAGCTCATTTATGGTAACTTAGGGGAAAGTTTGTATTTGACTAGGAATTCATGTTTGTATATTATTTGACATAATATTCAAAAGGTTTAAAGACTTCAAAATTCTTTTAACTATTTTGCAAAATCAATTAAATTATTATTATTTTGATTATAATTTTTATGATTCAAAGTACTCAATGGAATGGGGTGGGGGGAAATGAGGGTTTAATTGTTATTTTTTATTTTGAAAAGATTTAACAGCTTTTGGTACCCTCTATCCTATTAAAAATTAAATCAAGAATATAACTAGATTATTTGATATATAAGTTATATTTTTTATAATTATATCCTTAACTTTTTAAGAACATTTCACATTATGTTAAACAAATACAAAATTGTGAACATAGAATCTATAAAGAATAATATAGTGTTGAATGGGTCTTTGTAGTACTTAATATGGATTAGTTAATCAATAGATTAAATATTAGTATAATTTATCAAAAAAATAATATAATATTAAAAGAAATTAAATTAAATAATTGAAAACATTCATCATTAAGTGATAAGTACTTCCCTGGTTAGTTATCATTTTGTATTTTTTTGTTTTTGTTGTCCTCTCGGTTTTTCGGGGTTTTGTCTTGATTAATTCAGACATCTAACTTTGTCCTAATTACTTATCATTTTATACAATTTTTAATAAATAAATAAATAAATAAGATGATATTTATTATAGAGTATTAAATATATTTTTTTAAAATAAATGAAAATATTAATTTTTTAACAATTAAGGTCTAAAATTATAAATATTGAATAAGCTACCAATGAAGAATATGTTGGAGAGGAAAGCTATGGAATTCGCAAATGGATGATAAGGGATTTGCTATATTGGGCCAAGCTCCACCCAACCACAACGATGATTTCTCAATGACTTGGGTTCCCGTATTCACCTCCTTCAGCTCTATTTGTTAACCCCCTTCATCTCAACATGTAGCAGCAATGCCTTTATCAAAAGGCTTAAATAAAAACAAGTCCCTAAATTATGTCTTTTTTACTTTAAATCCCTAAATTATTTCTTGTTCAAAATAAGTCCTTAAACTTTTATATGTAACCATTTTAAGTCTCTTTATTTTCTAATTTAGAAAATTTTTTGGCCAATGAGATATTGATATGTCACACAAATTTATGTACTTATTTTAACTAAAAAAATAGTTTAGGGACTTAAAGCAAAAAATAGCATAGTTTAAGGATTTATTTTGACAAAAAATAGTTTAGGTACTTAAAGTGATTACATATAATAGTTTAAGGATTTTTTACCAAAAAATAGTTTAGGGATTTCAAACAAAAAAAGTATAGTTTAGAATTTCTTTTAGGAGAAAATAATCTCAGTGACCGAAAATGTCTTATAATATACGATTTTAACCAACTTTTTTTGGATTTGCCAAAATGACCAACAAAATCGCAACGCGAACTCCAACTTCGTAACTCAGTTTTCCATTTCGCGTTGCGATAGTCCAAAATCGCAACGCGATTTGCATATTCGCATTGCGATAGTCCAAAAGCGCAACGGTAAAGTGACTGGTGGTATTGCATTTGTTTCTTAAGAATTTTTTCTAAAAAGATAGTATCCGCGCTGACGTGTCAAAGACACGTATTACCACGACCACGACCCGACCCGAGACGGCGGCGGCGCGCGAGAGTCCCATTTGTTCTCTTTCACTCAACAAGGAAGTGGGAAATCCAAGCCTTAAATACTCATTCCCAATAGTGTTTCCAATACTATGTGGGATTGAGCATTACCAACACTTGTTTCCAATTCTTTTCTTGTTTCATTTTGGGATCCGATTCTGCCACTCATTTTGTTTGACAAATGGTAATGGAGAGGCAACCGAGTTGGCTTGGATCAGTTGAATCTAAACATTGGCTTGTTTTAGATTTGATTTGGTGTCAAATTGTTTTTTGTTAGAGTCTTAAGCTTCATGTGAATGGAAAAAGCAAACAGACTTAAGGTTTTGGAATGTGCTTTTTTGGAGCGTACTAGTTTGTTAAAAATATCAAGAAAATTACTCATATGATTGATTCATTTGCTTATACTTTCTTCTTGTTTTTTCCTTGACATCAAGATTCAATTTGGAGTTATTCTGTTTCGTGCTTGTTGTGGATCCTTTTACACAGGATATTCCACCTGCATAATCATTGTCTTCACATCCTGCAGGTTGTAACATTTAGTTTGATTCTGCATGTATAAATACTCCAAATAACAAGTTTGATTATGCGTCAAATAGCCATTGTTGCATGGTGAAGAGGTATGCATCAAATCTAAAACAAGCCAATGTTTAGATTCAACTGATCCAAGCCAACTCGGTTGCCTCTCCATTACCATTTGTCAAACAAAATGAGTAGCAGAATCGGATCCCAAAATGAAACAAAAAAAAATTGGAAACAAGTGTTGGTAATGCTCAATCCCACATAGTATTAGAAACACTATTGGGAATGGGTATTTAAGGCTTGGATTTCCCACTTCCTTGTTGAGTGAAAGAGAACAAGGGGGACTCTCGCGCGCCGCCGCCGCCGCCGTCATGGTCGTGGTCGTGGTCATACGTGTCTTCGACACGTCCGCGTTGATACTATCTTTTTAGAGAAAATTCTAAAGAAACAAATGCAATACCACCAGTCGCTTTACCGTTGCGATTTTGGACTATCGTAATGCGAATCTGCAAATCGCAACGCGAAATGGAAAACCGCGTTTCGATTTTGGACTATCGCAATGCGAATCTGCAAATTGCGTTGTGATTTGGACTATCACAATGCGAATTTGGAAAATTGCAACGCGAATTTGGAAACTGAGTTGCGAAGTTGGAGTTCGCATTGCGATTTTGTTGGTCATTTTGGCAAATCCAAAAAAAGTTGATTAAAATCGTATATTATAAGACATTTTCGGTTACTGAGGTTATTTTCTTTTTCTTTTAGTCTTCTCAAAACAAAGATAAAGGTGAAAGTCCACCTTAGTTCTCTTGTAATCTTTCTTTTAGACTCAACCTCTCTATTGTTTATCATCTCCTTCAACCTATAAAATAATTGTTTGAGGCTTTCCACTAACATGAAAAAGGGGTCAAGTTTACTAGAGGTTGTAATGCGTACCCACTTGGACAATACGAATGGACTAACCATTTATGATGAAAACGTAATCCTTGTACCCAAGATGAGTGTTAGGCTGATTTGCACTAAGCAGCCTTAAAAGTCCTCCATTAATGGAATTGAAAAGGACCAACAATCTTTTGAACATAAAGCACAAGGGAATTACTTTATTTTTTAGTGGGAGAATAGGATGTGTTCACCCATCTTTGCTAACACCTTAAAAAATGTCACTTTTTTTTATAGGTTCATCCTTATTGGGTTTTTTATTGATTCAACTATCAAATAATGACCTCTTAGCTTTACTTCCACTCCACTACCACCCCCAATCCAAAAAAAAAAAAATCACACCACCAAAATGTATACGCCTTTAAAATATTCCCAAATAAAGGCACATGCATTGTGGGAGGGTCATGATTCTAGATTGGTAGTGCTCATGCTCTCCCTTTTTATCTTTCTTTCTCTTACAACTTTGTTTTGGGAGTGGGACACCTTGTCATAAAGGGAAATTGTGTTGCAAGGGGAACAAAAGAAGCAAACATCAATTCTAAGGCCATGGACCAGCAATATATTTCACCCCAAAAAAAGTAGAAGAAAGGTCAAGATTCACAGCTAAGGTCCCACAGCTCTTAATTTGATCCATATTTCAGGTTAAATTTTGCGCTCTCCATCCCCTTCAATATCTTTACGCTAACCAATGATAAGGTGTTCTACATAGAACTTGGGTTGATGTTTGGTGCATGTTGTTGAAATTTGGGTCGTATTTAAGATTTTACATATATTATGGAGCCTGAGAATCAAACTGGTGCTAATTGAATCAGATAGTACGGAGGTCATGAAGATTTATAAGTGAACTTCTAATTCTCTTAAAGGGATCTCGAATGTAAAATCGATCCGTAATCTTCTGTAACGCGAGTGACAAGTGGAATTTCAACCCGTGTTGCATCAAGGAAATATAACGGTTGATACGTTAGCTCAGATAATTATTATGACACACCTTTCCATTTGTTTACACAATCGGGACCCATTCTATCCCTCTAAATTTT